ACCCCGCACACCAGATACTCCACCCCCCACGCCAGACACTCCACCCCATGCCAGATACTCTACCCCCCACACCAGATACTCCACCCCATGCCAGATACTCCACCCCCACACCAGATACTCCTCCCCATGCCAGACACTCCACCCCATGCCGTTTACTCCACTCCACGCCAGATAGTCCCACACATATATTATACCTCATATACATATTCTGTATCTAATCCCATGCTCTATGTCACACCGTGTTTTATGTACCAGATACTATACCTCATGCCATATACACTTACTTCCCACCATATACTATACTTCAGACACATAGTACATACCAGATGTTAACAAATTCCAAGTACACCAAAGAGTAGGTTTTAAAAAAACCTCTGGATCAACTGGAAGAAAAATGTAAGCATAAGCCTAAAATAAACTACACAGAAGAAAAGTGGATTGATTTGATTATTAAAAACACTATGCTGTATATATATGTCAAACACCATCAAGCACAACTAGAAGCAAATAGCCTGTGGAAAATAAAATACCAGTAAAGGACTGTATTCTTCACATGTGACGGAGCTTACTAGACAGCTGGCCAAGCGCAAGACGACAACCGAAACGCACGGGTCTAGGGCACAAGGGTGGGGCCTACCAGCCGTGGGAAGGGCTGCCGGACGCACGCGGGCCCCGTTTCTCCTGTGGTCGTGGGGCTTGGGGTTGCTTTTTTCTGGCTGGTACTTGTGGGGGTCACAGGCAGGAGCCCAGAAGTGTTGACAGGGAGCTAAAGTGGCGTCCCCCCCTGCTGGGAGAGTGTAAGTCGGTGTCATTCATGAGAAAGGCACTCTAGGCTTTCCCAAGAGCCTGCAGAATGTCCGTCTGCTCTGGCCCACCGATTCCACTTCTTAGGGACTCACCCTTAAAACACAAGATGTCCATGAAGATTTATTATAAAGGGTCATTTTAAAGTTAGAAACAGCAAACAGTAAAGATGTTCAGATTTTGTAACATCCGACAGTGATTTATCACACAGTTCAGAAAGACTGTCTCCACGAATGGACGATGCAGGAAGGAGAGAGCCCCACTGCCAGCCACACAGCCACCAGGCAGGTCCCCGCTGTGTTTAAGGGAGTGTGAGTGCACATGTGAGTGTTCATCATGGAAATAAAAGTTGAAGGGGAATGCAGAGATGCTGAATGTTGGCTGTCCCTGGAAAGCAAAATAGCAGGACTTTTATTTCCCTGATTTCACTATATATTTTCTAAAAATTTTAGCAATCATATAATTCTTTAATTAAAAAATGAGTGTCAAAGGGCCAGCAGTCACTCCCATATGAAACTGCTGTGTGTTGAATAGCCAAGAATGGAAGCAACCTAAGTGTCCCTCAGTAGATGAATAGATAAAGAAGAGGTGGTCCATATACACAATGGAATACTACTCAGCCAGAAGAAACAAATCCTACCATTTGCAACGACATGGACGGAGCTAGAGGGTGTTATGCTCAGTGACATAAACCAGGCGGAGAGAGACAAGCACCAGATGATTTCCCTCATCTGTGGAGCATAAGAACAAAGCAAAACTGAAGGAACAAAATAGCAGCAGAATCACAGACTCCAGGAAGGGACCAGCAGTTACTAAAGGGGAGGGTGGGGGAGGGCGGGTGGGAGGCAGGGAGAAGGGGATGAGGGGTGTCATGGTTAGTACACATGGTGTGGGGGTATCATGGGGAAGACAGTGCAGCACAGAGGAGGCACATAGTGACTCGGGCATCTCACTACACTGATGGACAGTGACTGCAGTGGGGTGTGGGGGGGACTCGATAATGTGGGTGAGTGTAGTGACCACATTGTTTTTTATGTGAAACCTCCATAAGAGTGTATGTCAATAATAAAAGAAAAAAAAGAAGTCCCTGCGCGTTGTCCAGGGCCTGCATCTCGGCTCGAGTGCAGGTGTCCTCGTGTCCCCCCGCGGCGCGGGGCGCCCTGTCTCAGTGCTGAGCCCCCGCCCGCGCTCCGCTGAGCTCCCTACTGCCGCTTTCTGCCCGCCCAGAGCTCTTGGGCGGCGCTGAGGGGCTCACACGTTCAGGGCCTGGTCGCCCAGCGTCTGCCTCCCTCCCGGGAGGACCCTGCCCTATTTCTCGTCTGCCTCCTGTACCCGCCACTCAAGTGGCCTCTCTGGAACTGGGGAGGAATTTCCGGTCGGGCCTGGCAGGCTCTCTGCACTGACCTGCTAGCCCTCGGCCTTAACACTCAGTGAATGGCTCTTCTGTAGGGGTGCCTGCACCCCTCTGTCTGGGCCCGTCTCCTCTCTCTCTGGGAGTTTGATCGCGATGTTCTCTGGTTGGATTAGACTAGTCTCTTTAAACCTAAGTCAGAGAATGAGGGAATGATGTTTATTTGCTAGCATTTGAAACAAAAAGTACCTTATCCCCCTTTAATTTTGTGAGTATTTCTTGCACACCCGTTACGTGCCAACTCTAGAGAGAACGTGTTGGACAGGGCCGACCCCATCCCTGCCCTTCACAGAGCTTGTGTGGTGGGGAGATGGGACCTCAAGGAGGGAAGTGCACCAGACAAGTGGCGAGGTCCCGAGGAGACGGGTGGGTGCCCCTGGAAAACCTGGGTGCGCGCGGAGGCCATTCCCGGGGAGCTCGGCCCTCGGGCTTTTGGGGGAGTGGGACGCCTGCCCCCTCTCACGAGGGCCCCTGGCTTCAGGCCTCCTCGGGTAAGTGCGATGTCATAAGCTCCCCTCACTTTCTGCCACTGCGCTGCAGTGCTGTCCCGTGGAAGGTGGCCCAAGACTTGCTAACACCGCTGTGATTTCAGCCGTCAAGCTGAGCCACCAAAGAAGGATGCCACCTCTGCAGGGCCCCAGGTGAAGCGGGCGGATGAGTGGAAGGACCCGTGGCGCAGGTCCAAGTCTCCCAAGAAGAAACTTGGGGTGTCTGTCTCCCCAAGCCGGGCACGAAGGCGTCGGAAAACATCAGCCTCATCAGCCTCCGCCTCCAACTCCTCCAGGTGAGGAGGCGGCGGGCTCATGGATGCCATGGAAGCGCTGCGTGGCCGCTGCCTGAGGGTCAGGGCTGAGCGGGCATGGGTTGAGCAGAGGGTTCTGGGGTGCCAAGGGCTGAGAGACATGACTGACTCTCAGAGCCCTGGTGAGGCTTCCCATGCCCACAGGTAGACAGTTGAAGTCAGCCAGGCTGCACACACCCCAGAGCAGAACACAGAGCTGGCCAGGGAGCCGGGGGGAGAGTTCTCTGGAGTCCGGGGAACGGCTCAGGCCCCGCCCTCCCATGAGTCCTTCTGCTCCTGTGAGTCTGGTGCTAGGCGAACAAGCAAGCATGGTGGTGTGGGCGGTGTGAGCTGGTCTCCCCATTGGGAAAGGGGGGGCCAGGCACAGCCTGGGGTGTGGCAGGGACTGTGCGTGTCAGTGGGTCCAGGTGTTTGCCACACGCACAGATGGACTCAGCCCCGTCCACTGAGGGCCCAGGAGCTGTCCCCTGAGCACACCCAGCATCCAGGGCCTGGATTCCCAGTGGAGGGGGACTGGACTGTGGCGAGCCCACAGAGGTGTGGGGGCGTGAGTGTGTCTGGGGGACTGTGTGGGTGTAGCCATGCCGTCCGCCCGAGGACAGCAGGCTCCGTGCAGCGGGGGAGACCTGGTCTCTCTCCCACACTCCGGTTTCGGGCGCTGCAGGTCATCATCACGGTCCTCGTCCTATTCTGGCTCCGGTTCGTCCCGGTCCCGGTCCCGGTCCTCGTCCTACAGCTCCTACTCCAGCCGGTCTTCCAGACACAGCTCCTTCTCGGGAAGCCGGTCCAGGTATGTCCCCAGGGGCAGCTGCAGGGGGCTGGGCGTGTTGTCCGGAGTCGCCCAACACAGAGCAGAGGCTGGGGGCCTGGAGCACACCCCAGTGCCAGCCTGTTCTGGGTGTGCTACAGTCAGAATTGAGGCGACTCGGGGGTCAGTGAGCTCTGGCCACTCCCCGAGGAGCAGCAGCGTCCACTGCGGGCCACTGGCCCTGTCTGGAGTGTTCGGATATGGACATTTCCATCTTCACAGAAAGTTCTACTGGACTGTTCCCAAAAGATCAGAGCACCATGTATACTGCCCACTGAATGTAGGCAAATCTGGGGTTTCAGGGAGCTCTCAGCTGTCACCAGCTGATGGGCGAGCAGGACAGCGTCCCGTCTCCTCACCCCACTAGCCTTTCCAGCCAGCGCCACCGCCTGCGCCCTGTGCACACGGGGCTGGCACCAGCTGTACGGCGGCCTGCTCCCTCTTTCCCTTCACCCCACTTGGCTAGTCTGAGAGCACAGGGAGGCCCGGGTGTGGAAGGTGGCCTGCATGGGGCTTTCTTCGGGAACCCAAGGCTCCCTGCACAGCCTCCCTGCCCCCCAGTCACGCCAGTCCTCCTCCCTGAAGTCACAGATGGGGCGCTGCTTCCCCAGAGGCCTTGTGGCATTGAACAGAACCACACGGGGGGCATGCACATGCCCAGAGACATACCTGACGCACACATGCGTGCACACGCCTCTTTGGGAGCAGATGACCAGATGCCCTTGGAGCAGGACTGATCAACCCACCCTGGGGTCTGCGGTGCCCCCTGCCGCCCTGCCTGTAGTCTTATTCTAGGCCTGCTGTGGAGAGGGTCAGAATGGCGGGGAAGAGCCCACTGAAGCCACTGAATCTGACCATCAAGTGGACATTGTTAGCCGGACAGACCATGAAGCATAGGGCCCATTTTCCACGGATGTTAACTCTTTAAGAGTTATGAAAAAGAAATGGAACCTTTTTCTAGGGGTGTCTAGGTGTCAGCTGTGAGCTTGGGACCAGAAGTTTAAGCAGTATCAAGGGGTACAGAGAAGGCACTGGGTTGGGGGCAGTCAGGGAGTGCTGCCTGTAGGAGGTGAGGTGGAAGACAAAAGACACTGATGAGCGAGTCAGTGACAAGAGAAACCATGCGTGTGGTTTCACCTGAGAAACAAGGGTGGCGAGTTGTGGGAGGGAGCCTGAAGCCGAGCTGGGGGCGCGGGGACTGCGGGAATCGCAGTGTAGCCGGGAGTTGCCCACCACCTTTTCTCTGTGCGTCGTCGTTGACACAGGAGATGTTGGGAAGAAGTCCAAGCGTTGGAGTCTGTCAGGCAGGCCGGGGCAGCTTTTTGGAGGCTCGAGAGCACACATGGCGGGCAAAAGAGCCGGTGTCCAGCTCTGCAGGCTCTGCAGGCCCCTCACAGGGGGTGAGGCGTGGCGGGTGGGCTCGGCCGGGCAGGAGGAATGGGCAGGAACCCGGCTGCCCTTTCCCGGGAGGCCCCAAGGAGGGCACTCGGCTTCCTTGTCGCCCAGCTCCGAAACCCCTGGGGTCCCAGCCCTGTGCCCCAGAACCAGTCCCCTTCATGAACTACCCGACTGCAGAAGTTTCTTGGAACTCACGACAGGCAGCCACAGCGAGTGAGGCCAGGAGCAGGGACAGGCACTTCTCCTGGACGGCCGGGAGGGGAGTGGTCCCAGAACCACAGCGCGTATGTCGCAGAAGCCTGATCCTAGGCCAGCGCTGGTGTTGCTCAGCTGAGCATGTCGACAGGCTTGCCTCCTGGGACTGGTGGGGCTCTGGCTTCCTGCTGGCACCTAGGGGGCCCCACACTTTCCTTCTGCTGGGCCTCCCCCGGCCGGGCCAGCCTCCACCTCACAGCCTGGCACCTCTGCCTGCCGGCCTGTGCTGCCCACCACAGTGGCCCCCCACCTTCCAGCCCCACTCAGGAGCCCCACTCAGCCCAGACCAACATCTTTCCAGCCCCTGCTCAGCCCTGTGTCCTGCCAGGCTGGTCTGTGTGTCCTTGGGGCATCGTAGGGGCATGGAGAGCAGAGCGCACCCCTCCTGTGTGCCCCGCGACTCCCTGCCTCCGGAGGCCCCACAGCCCGCTCACAGCCGCACTCCCTTCTGCACTCCCCTCTCCCCTCTAGTGTGCCTTGTAGGGATGACCAGGAACTAACTGGAACCCATTTTAAATCGGAGGCAGATCGGTAGAAACTTGCGACGGCTTTCTCTCTGCCCCAGCGGGCTCGGGCATGGACCAGGGCACTGTGGCATCCCCTCCGCCTGCCTCTTCACTTGCAGGTCCCGGTCCTTTTCCTCTTCCCCATCGCCGTCTCCAACGCCGTCGCCACACAGACCTTCTATCAGAACCAAGGGGGAACCAGCCCCGCCTCCTGGGAAAGCAGGGTAAGTACCCAGGCAGCCTGTCGCAGCAGTGGGTGCTGGAGCCCTGGAGGGTGAGCAGAGGCGTGGCGGCCACAGGGCACAGGCCCAGCCTTGTGTTTCCTGGTATGTGGGCCTCGCGGCAACATGGCCTCTGCCACAGTGCAGCCCACTCGGACCGTGGTGCGGCCGTGTACTCACCCATTGGGAGCGGGCGCTCACAGCAAGGGCGCAGGCGTGGTTCCCAGGGCGCCGTGCCCGGGGTCAAGTCTGCCGTGGCAGCAGCAGCCCTGCCAGGCTGAGTCTTATGCCTTTGCTGCTCCTGGACCCTTCTCAGCGGGTGTGGCTGACGGGACATGTGGGAGGTATCTGGAGCTCTGCACACATCTGACAGGCAGCGTCATGATGCGGCCTGGACCATGTGCCCCAGATGAAGGGGCTCCCCTCCCGCAGCTGTGCTGCGGTGGTTAGATGGGGCCTGATGCCTCGGGCCGAGGCCCCTCGCCCTCACCCCTGCGTGCTGGTCCATGCTGCTGGCGCTGGCCCTGCTGTCTGGCTCGTTCCCACATGCTGCCCAAGTCACAGGAAGGAGCCTGGCCCCTCCTGCGTGACTGGCTTTGAAAAGCTTTCCGTGAAAAGTCTTTCGTCCTGACTAGAGTCTGCTAACAGGCCTCAGAATCAGGGAATCCTGAGCAGCTCACTTTTCAAAAACGGATGGTGTGGAGGCACAATTTATGTCTGAGGCGCCCCATCCCTCTAAATTTACTATTTGATGGGTCTAACAGATGTGTGAGAACACTGCAGTCCTGGCACCCAGTCCTGTCCAGGCTGCCCTGACGCGCTTCCACTCGGCACCCTCACTGGCACAGGTGGACCCGCCCCTGATGCTGTGCTGAGGACTTGCTGTTGTGTCAGCCTTGATGATGACAGGATTTCTGATGAGGTGGCGCTCTGTCCACCTGAGCCGTGACTGACTGGTCAGTGTGACCGAAATAGTCGGCAGGGTACTTTTCCCATGCAAAGTGTAAAGAAAAGCTTTTGGGGCCAAGTGGCTCCCATGTGCAAGCGTGCCCAGCACCCTCAGGGCCCAGGCGGCCCAGGAATGGTGTCTGACAAGGCAGGTGGGGGCCGTGCTCCTGAGGAAGCAGGGCGCCAGCTCTGCAGTCACTCTGGGCATCCTCCCTGGGCCTGTCCTCTCTGCCCTGTGCTCCCCCCTCCTGCCTCAACGGAGCAGCAGGAGGGCAGGTGCAGTGGCTTCAGAGGCTTTTGGAGAGCTCAGCGCCCTGTGGGGTCGGCAGGAAACAGCGTGCGGCTGGGAGGGGCCGGGTGCCGGCCTCACCTCTGGTGATGAGAACCCCGCAGGTTTCACTTGCCGCCAGGTCTGACCCTGCCTCCGTCTTGATCAGAGAGAAGCCCGTGAAGAAGCCGGCTGCCCCTCCGGTCCCAGCACAGGCCCCCAAAGCCACCGCTCCAGCCCCGGAGCCAGCCAAGCCCGGGGACCCGCGGGAGGCCAGGAGGAGGGAGCGGCAGGCCAGGTCGCCCCCCAGGAGGTAAGCGTGCTCGCGGGGCCTGGACCACTGCCTGCCTCTGGAGGGGTTTGGAGGGGAGCCAGCCAGGGCAGCTGTGCCCTGGTCCCCAGAGGCTGTTCCCAGGGCGGAGCCGCGCCGCTGCGCGGGGAGGCCGCACTGATGGAACACGGCATCAGGCCATTGCCGAGCCCAGGGCCTTGCTTGTGTTGCAGACGGACCTTGAGCGGCAGTGGGAGCGGCAGCAGCTACAGCGGCTCCAGTTCGCGATCCAGGTACTTGGCACCCCTCGCTCCCCTGTCAGGGCCCTGGAGGAGCCCTGCAGACAGCCCTCCCACGGGGGTACCCACCTGTCTGAGTGGCTGTTGGGAGCAGCGTGAGCTGGCCTCAGCTTGGGGAGGAGCATCTGTTGTCAGCAGCTCTTGGGTCACCAGCAGTTGTGCGTCCCTCCCCAGCAAACAGCAGGACCCTCGTTAGTGCAGGAGGGGCCTCCCCGCGGGGACATGGGTGTCCCCCCACTGTGTGGCACCTTTAAACGACTCAGCATCTCCTGAAATCTGAGGTTCCTCAAGGATGGGGACTGGGGAGAGAGGACAGAGACCTGCTGCCAGCCATGGCCTGTCTCACGTTGGGGCCACGCGGTGCACATGTGCTTGTGTGTCCAGGTCCCTGAGTGTGAGCAGCGTCTCCTCGGTGTCCAGCGCCACGTCCAGTAGTAGTTCCGTGCACACCGTGGACTCGGACGACATGTACGCAGACCTGGCCAGCCCCGTGTCCTCAGCCAGCTCGCGGTCCCCCACCCCAGCCCAGCCCAAGAAGGAGAAAGGTACAGGGACTCCTGTGTCCTGGGCGCTGTGGCCTCAGAGCAGGCTGTGTGTGCAGCCAGGTCGGCGCCCGCAGGCAGGTGGTCAGGCGTGCACGGAATGTCCCTGGTCTCTCTCCCTGCATGCTGCCTGGCCAGTCACGTGTTCCTTCTCCAGGCGGCCACGGGAGCTTGCTGTGCTGGGCGGTGGCTGTGACTGAGCACTTCTCGTTGGCAGGAAAATCTAAAAAAGAGGATGGTGTGAAAGAAGACAAGCGGAAAAGGGGGTCGTCCACGCAGCCACCCAAACCCGCAAAGTCTTCTGCAGGCGGCAGACCCTCCCAGCAGCCCACACCCCCCCAGCAGGCGACCCCCGGGCAGCCCCAGCAGGGTGCATTCATCGCCCATAAGGAGATCAAGTTGACGCTGCTGAACAAGGTGAGACTGGTCTTTGCGTGCCCCTCAGTTCACTGGGATAGAGCCCCAGCGAGAGCCAGCAGGTGGCCTCGTTCTTTGAGAGTGGTGGCTGGAGGTCACCCCAGTCATCCTCCTGCCCGAGGACCTCATGGGAAGTGGAGGGGTGCACGGGCATGGGGTGGGGAGGGGGCACATAACCCTCACGGGAGGTTGGAGCAACCTGGGCTGCCAGCCCTCCGTGGCCCCTGTCAGCACGCATCCTCAGCCCTTTCTGTGTCCCCGCAGAGCAGCGCTGGTGCACAGCACACTCGCTCTGTGAGCTGACGTCTCTGAGGCCCTAAGGGACTAGCAGGGCGGAAGGCCGAGCCTGCTGCAGTCACAGCCGGGCTGGGGCCCCCGTAGGGAATGTGACCTCTCACCGGCACTGCAGAGCCCAAAGGCCCTGAAACCTGGGCCTGCTCCGCCCCCCTGCCAGTCGGGCTTGGGGCCCAGAGGGGGCTGTCAGCGCTCTGCTTCTGGGCGCACATGTCTGCCCGGTGGCCCGCAGGCCCTGCTGCCCTCACAGTGCCCTCTACTGTTTCAGGCAGCTGATAAAGGCAGCAGGAAGCGATACGAGCCTTCCGACAAAGACAGGCAAAGCCCTCCAGCCAAGCGAGCTAACTTATCCCCAGACCGAGGTGAGTCCCCTGGGGAGGTCAGCCTTTGCAGGCACTTGACGGGCGGAAGAACTGGGACCCCCTATACTTTTGAAAAAATACTGGGAAGCCCGAGGAACTTCTGATTGTGTGTGTCTCTCTGGCAGTATTTACAGTATTCCAAGTCAAAACCAAGAACAGTTTCTTAATATTTATTTTAAAATAACACAGCGATAAACCCCTATATTTTAATACAAGTAACTTTTCTTTTTTAATAAAAAACTAAACTTCCCAAAACACAGGTTAGCAGGAGTGACACTGGCTTATGTTTTTTGTGGAAAGTTCTTTAATATTTGACCAACAGTGGCTGGGTTCTGAGCTCTTGTGCTAGCACAGCACAGCCTCTGGGGGGCTCCACCTGAGGCCCGTGAGCACGTGAGGGTGCAGAGGCAGGCGGCATCTCCTGTCCCTGGGAACTGTCCGGCTGCAGGGCCTCCAGCTGGGAGCCACTGGCCCGGGCCCGGACGGACTGTCGTCCTGGGTGCGATGACAAAGCAAAGCCTGAGTTTGGCCAAGTGCCCTCTCCTCCCTGAAAGGGAGGGCAGAGGGGCCTGACCGAGCCTCCAGGGCAGGTGGGTGTGCAGGTCCCAGGGCCACCTCCACAGCACCGCCTCCTGGGCTAGAGCCGGCTGGCAGCAGCGTCCACACGGGCCTTCCTTCATCCTGGAGCCCGTGTGTCTCTGCCACCCGCCCCAGAGCAGCGAGGCCAGAAGCCTTGTTTGCGTTCGCTCGTTTTTCACGCCGCCCTGTCTCTTTGTGCCTATGTGGAGGCCTGTGTGATGCACCCCTTAGATCAGCTAGAAAGAGCCCATTGTGGCCTCAGCTTGGTGGTTTGGGGGAGGCTCCCTTTGCGGTGCCATCAAAGCACCCCTCCTTGGTACAGCTCTGCCCTTGGCCTCTTCCTGTGGAAACGAGGACGCTGCACTGAGCGGCCTTGACCCTCTGGAGTGGGGTTGCCTACGTCCAGTGAGGGTGCCCCATCCCTGTCTTTGTGCACGCTGGCACCATGTGGAACCCGGTCTTACCTTGTCCTGCATTGCCCAGGTTCCCGGGACCGGAAGTCCAGTGGGAGACCTGGCTCCCCAAAGCCTGAGCGGCAGAGAGGCCAGAATTCCAAGGCACCCGTGGCCGCACCAGACAGGTGAGTGCCCCACCTGCACCCTGGGCATACCTCATGGGCTCCTTTGCCCTGCAGAGTGCTGGCCTGAGCAGGTGGAGGTGAGCAGGACCAGCTGTGGGGCAGGCCCAGAGGCTGGAGGCAGGAGGGTAGGCGGAGGCCAGCCTGCCTCTTACTCTGTCCCACCAGCAGGTCTAGAGTGAGGAGTTGCCCAACGCAGTGGGCCAAGGGCTCAGGAGTCAGGTCACGTGGCCTCACTCTTCCCCACCTCCTGTGCTGGGCATAGGAAGTGGGGTACAGACTTCCTTTGCCCAGGAAGTGGTCTCGGGGTCCAGGGCCAGGCAGTCCTCCCAGCGCAGCCCTGGTCCTCACAAGCTGGGACTGGGCCCGCGGGGTCCCATGCCCTCAGGGCGACCCCCGAGTCAGCAGAGCGCAGTCTTACCCAGCACAGAGTGAGGGTGCGCCCGAGGGCCAGAAGCTGGAGGCCCCCAGCGGGGTGTCCTCGAGCCCCTGATGGCCTCCCCACCCCCGCAGGAAGCACCAGGTGTCGCCTCAGCCCAAGAGCTCCAGCAAGGTCACCAGTGTGCCCGGCCAGGCCCCAGACACCGGGGCCAAGGCCGGGAGAGCCAGCACGCTGTCGCGGCGGGAGGAGCTCCTGAAGCAGCTCAAGGCCGTGGAGGATGCCATCGCTCGCAAGCGGGCCAAGATCCCCGGGAAAGTGTAGCAGGGCCTGCGGTTCGCTCCCGACCCGAGTTAGAGACTCATGTGTTTTTATAAATAGCGTAAGCGCAGCCATTTTGGATTTTGCAGTTAATGTCTTATTTTGGCTGTGAATCTTTTTAAAAATTAAAAAAGAAAAAAAAGTTTCTCAGCTGGAAAAGAAGCCACAATGTAATGAAGATGACGCTGAATCCCAGCCTTCTCCTGGCCAAACGGAACCAGCCCTGCCCAGAGCGGACGTCCCGCGAGGCAGGCAGACGGGCTGGCTGGCAGCCGCAAGCGAGGACACAGCACCGTTTCGTGTAAATTATAAGTCCTGACACCCAGGCCAGCCTGCCCGTACTTTGCCCCTCTGCTGGTCAGCACAGTCCCAGGGGACGTCCTTGCCGTGCGCTCTCACTGCAACGGGGACACCGTGCTTCAGAGCAGGCCCCCCATTCCTGCCCATCCCCAGGATCAAAATATATATATATATATATTCTTGACTAAAGTCTGATTGGGAAATACTTCCTGTCTTTTATTTTAAGCATCAAATTGTTCTAGTTGATTTAAAAAGGAAAAAAGTGCAGAAAAGACCAAAAAAAAGGTCAAGGGTATTGGGCATCTGTCTGGTGTGGAGGGTCTTTTTTGAGGGTCTCCCAAAATAAAGTATTTTGATAAGCAGCTCTCGCCTGGTGGTGATGCCTGTGTGGCCTGGGACCCCTTCCCTCCGCCTGCTCTCTTCACGCGCTGGGCCACCTCAGACACCTGTGGGGCCTGCCTGGCATTTCAGGCTGATGGAGGCCGAGGACACCGTGTCCCAGGGGGAGGCGCCTCTGAGCCTCCGTTTCCCAGGAGTAGGTCTGGGCCAGAAAGGTGAGGACGACGCTCTTCTGGCCAGACCGACACCAGCCCCCAGCCCCTGAGCCCCTTCTCCACAGGCACCTGTGTGCCGCCTCCGGCCTCTCCCCGGGAGTGTCTGTGGCTGCCCTTCCCGCCAGCCCTGCTCTCCAGTCCAGGGAGCCCACAGGGCCAGGGGCACTGCAGGGAGGCCCAGGTGCTCACTCGCTCGGGGCCCTTCCTCGCGGGGTTGAAGTTGGTGCCGGGGGCTCAGAGTGCCCACGCTCTTCCCACCACACCCCACACTGGGGTCACTACAGCAGGTTCCCCGAGTGCTCGTGTGCGACACAGCCCAGGGCCCACGCTGCTGGCCCAGCCCCGGTTCTGGAGCAGGGCCCTGCGGCGGCTGGTCAGGAGGCGGCAGCCCGGGGGGGGGGTCTCACCTGGTGGCAGGACCTGCCGAGCTGCATCCAGCTTCCAGGGGACGTTCCAGGCTCGGTCCCGAGGCGACGTGGCCTCAACAGGCCGACCAGGACAGCAAGTCTCGCTGCCCAGCTGCTGAGCTGCCAGGCCTCCTGCATGGCCAGCGCTCGTTTCATGCCCACGTCCCTCCCACAGCATAGGACATGCTCCATCTGTCCGGCAAGCCGCCAAGGCTTCACTGGTTTGCCATTGGGTCAGAGGCAGGCGCACAAGGAGCCCCCATCCTCTGAATGGGTGGCCTTTGAGGACATGGGGCCAGAATCCAGGACGCCGAGCAGTGCCTGACCCTCAAGCCTGGACCCGCAGAGAGCCCACCACATAGCTCTGCACTGAGGCCCCTTGCCCCTGGACCAGCCTTTTTCCTTCCCAAGAGGGAGACCTGACCCTGGCCCCTGGCACCTGGGCTGGAGCCTCAGCCCTGCATCCTCCCAGGCTAAGCCAGGTTGGCGCCAGTGGCTGTCATTCACCATCGGGGGCAGGGCTCACCTGGGCTGGGCTAGGGCAGGCGCCCATCTGGGGAGGGGTGTGGGCCACATCCTGAGCCAGCTCCCCCCAACCCAGGTGTGGGGGAAAGAACATTCTGGGCCAGACATCTGAGAAAGGAATGTCCCTGCTGCATGTCGGTTCCTCCAGGTGCATGAGGGCCAGGGTCCTGCAGATGGGCAGCCTGCAGTAGTGGGACTCGGGGGTCGGTGCTCAAGTTCCCTCTCCGCCACCTGACTGCCCCTTGAATGTCCAGTCCACCGCCAAGTCCCCTGCCTGTCAGCTGCCAGAGGCACCCCTGCCCCGGGGCCTTTGCACAAGGCTGCCTTTCCTTCCTGGGACTCTCCCCAGCCAGCCCCTCCCACTTCTCACCGCTCAACAAGGCCTGCGCGTCCCCCCCAGGCCCTCCACCATCTGCCTGCAGGGGATTGAAGCCACATGCCCTAAACTGCCAGCACCCAGCAGAGCAGCAAAGCAGAAAACCCAGTCTCGACCCTTCTGACTTTTCTTATCTTCATAAAATGGTGTTTATTGGCCCTTCACGAGGGAAGGGGCCAGGACTTGATTCCATCTCCCAGCCCCAAAGTCAGGTCCCTGGCTGAGACTGAGCCCAGCGGGCATCCAGCGTCCCGCCCACCCACGGAGCTGCACTCCTCGTCTCACAGCTCCCCACACCGCAGCCCTGAGCCCCACGCCTGGGGGCCGCCCTCCCATTGCCAGGCAAAGCCTCTTTCCAGCTCCACATGTGCTCAAGTCTGCAGCCACCCAGGCCTCCTCTCCTTGAGTGGACATGACGTCAGCAGCATAGTTCGGGGAGACAGCCAGGCCCCAGGCGAGTCAAGGAACCACAGATACTAGTGGCTTGAGGCCGGTCCGTGTGGCCAGCTAGTAAAGCAGCCGAGTGACGGTGAACCAGATAGGTTCCCCGACGACGAGGAGCAAAGCTGGCCCACCACCCCCGAGTCCATCCCATGCTCATTCATATGTTAAAGACCACAGTCCTCAGCTCCAAGACAGGTCCAGGCGGCCGTATCAGGGCGGAGAGAGCACATGGCCCCCTATCCCCGAAATCCCCCTCCCTGTTCTGAGGAAACCCCACCTTAAACTCCAGCCGTAAGACCACCCCGCCCGAGCCTCACCCTGCCGCTTACCCTCCGGCTTGTCCAGACCACCCCGCTGGGTGGGCGCCTTCCCTTTAATAACCCCGTGCTTGCATCTGCCCCGCCTGCCCTGCCTCTTTCTCCATTGGCTTCAAGAACGGCACGTGGCTGTCTCCAGGTGGAGGGCCCGCCCTGGCGCACAGGTGAGACCTCCCTGACACAGGCCACCTGAAACACATAAGTTTATGTTTTTAATTTGTAATTTCCCTAATCAAGTTAACATGACATATCTCTGAGGCCATGAATGGATGTGCGTCCCTCTAATGTACCAGCTCAGTTCGGTGGAAACTAAGTTTCTGTGGGTTTTTCACTGCCAGGAGTCAGGCCCCCGGCCCTTGGTCCTTTACAGCATCCAGCAGCCACCCGTGGCCACCAGGTCCCTCTCCTGTGCAGCTCTGCTGTCACTTCACCCACGGCTTAGGCCCTCCTGCACCAGCCCTGTATATCCGATTCCCTCAAGGCCTGGGCTTCCCCCCTGCCCCTGCCCAACACTGGGCCCCAAGACCACCCCATGCTCACTCTCGACCAGCCACCCAAGACCACCCCACGCTCACTCTCGACCAGCCACCCAGCTACCCCCAGTGACAGTTCCCACCAACCCTTGCCAGCCTGTAAGTCCCCAAAAGTGACGGTCAACCATGCCTGGTGGGAGGGGCACCAGACTGGACTAAAGGTAGCATGGGGCCTGGCTTAGGCCCTGGGAGAGTGGGCAGGCACCCCTGCCCTGGGCAGCCGGCCCTTAGAGGCCATCCTTTACCAAGGGGGCATTCCTGACAGTGCAGTGCTGCGAGCAGAGGAGCCCTGGCTGCGCCAGACTGACCACGCAGGGCTGCTGGGCTCTGTGGTGGGGATGGGGGCAGGACTGTCACGAACACACACCCGCCGCAGGTGAGGGGACTCGGGCCTGCTGCTGGCCCTCCCTCCACCGCGGGGCACAGCCTGGAGCCCGGAGCAAACCCCTCTGCAGGCGGTCTTCTGTCCAGCCACAGCGGCATAGGCTCCAGGCCATAGCCCGGACCCGTGAAGGATGTGCTGGGAGGCCCACCTGGGGCCACTGTGCTGCGCCTCCGTGTCTGTCTCCCCGCTGGGGCCGCTGCCTTATATCTCTCCCCGGGCGGTAGGCCAGCCTGCACCCCTGTTGTGTCCCGTGGTTCTCTGGGCCTGTCTCCCAGTCCATCCCCTTCTCCCCAACTCCCAGCGACCTCCTGCACCCCCACCCCCTCCTGCACCCCATCCCCTCCTGCACCCCCATCCTCTCAGGAGGGGACTTCATGCCATGGCCCTCATGGTCAGCACGTGGGGCTTGATGGGCAGGGCCTTCAGGGACACCGTCTCTGGGACGCCATCTGGCCTTTTACTGGGGGGGCGCCTTTCCAGACTGGCCCGACCCACCCCCTGGAAGGTGCCCAGGCTCCACACCGAGCCCTCCAGCCTCCTGGTGGGGATTCCCGACCCAAGGCCCTCACTGCCGGCCCCCGGGGCAGTTCCTCTGACCCAGGACTCAGCACTGCGGTGGCTGGGGATTGGAAAGGTACCCAGAGAAGGCAGCAGCTCAGTGCAGGGCCACGCTTGATCAGAGCCAACCCCCTCTGGGGCACCCGCCAGCCCCAGCTCAGGCGTCTGGTCATCTGGTGGCCCCGAGGGTGGGCGCCAACCCCCAGCCTCGAGGCCGCGGCGCACACCTGTCTCCCTCCCTCCCTCGCTCCAAGCTGCTTCCCAGCTGGTGATTAACCTGCCAGTGGCCAGCTGGGGTCAGACATGGTCACACCGCCTGTACCCACGGGGTGGCCACATGCACTCTGCCCTCCATCCTGTGACACCCATGGGGCTCCAGGTGCCAGGCGCAGCGCCGTGCTGGGGACAGGCAGGTCCCCCACAGGCACAGAGGCCTCCTTCTGATAAGGCCCCTCAGACGTCTCGCCCAGAGAGCCCAAGCCCCCTAGTCACACCCAGAGTGTGGGAATGAGGCTGAATAATTGAAGAAAACGGGGTTCCGCACACCAGTACGACAAACTGAACGGACAGCAGACAGGGGCCCCCTTAGCTCTCCCTCGAGGCTGTAGATGAACTCCTGACTCGTGTTTCCTTGACATATTTTGCAGGAATTTAGACCCTCACCACACGGGCCACCTGCTGACCACAGGCATGCAGACCCCAGACCAGGTGGAGCCAGAAGACTGATGATCAAAATTCCTGAAATGACCCCCTGTCACCTCCCCACTGACCATCAGAAGTAGGGCACGAGCGACCACACACCTCCACAAATTTCCTGCAATTTTACATTTAAAAGCCCTGCTCATAACCCGATGGCGTGTTCGGGATATGTTGGGGGCCGTGAGCATCACCCACCGCTCTCCTTGCCTGGCACCCTGCAGGAGACGCCCTCTTTCTTTCACTGCGTCCCCACGGCCATGGGGCTTTGCTGTGCGGCAGGCGAGGGGGCCCAGGCCTGTCTGGTGGGGGTCAGCTGCCTCCTCCGGGCTCCACTCTCAACCCATCTTCCGGTCTATCAAGCGAGCAGTTTCGAGCTTAGAGAACAGGGTGCATTCTGGTGCCTGCAGGTGGGAAGGAAAGCCTGGGAAGGCCGGTGCTCTCCCTCCCAGCCCACAGGCCCTCCTCAGGTGGGCGCTGCTCGTTAGGGAAGAGGGGGCACTGCTGGTTCCAGAAGCCCCGGGAAGCTGAGAGCCTTGAAGGGCATCCCAGGGCCCCAGAGGACGGTGTCCAAATCCCAGGCCTTCAAATCTTTGCAAGGCCTGGCTTGGCACTTTCCCCTTTTCAAGATAACCTCCAGCTGGCAGCACGGAGCCGGGCGCAGGGGGCCCCCGGGGCCTCCTTACACACAGCTTCTTAGGGTGCATCACACGTGACAGTCTCCAGGGCCTTCTCTCCCCGTCCACTGGCAACGTTTTAGCTTGAACTTCTGTTCAGCGAAGCCACAGGAACGTGACCTGAAGGTGCATGCCGGCTCTGGCTGGTCCCAGCCCCCCGTCTCTCCCGGAATCTCTCCCAGGGGAGGCAGGCACTGGTGACCCCTGGTTTTGATCATCTTATATAAAAAAGACAATAAAGAGTGGAACCACCCTCACGTCTACTGACAGGAGAGGCAGGGGAAGGGGGAGCAGCCCCCAGGGATACCCTACAGCAGGCAAAAGAGCCGCCCCCGCCTCAGCGGCCCTGCCCCACAACCCAGATCAGTAGGCCCAAACCGCGAACACACACAAGATGGATGGGAGAGGCCGGTTGCAGGAGGGTGTCGCGGCTCCCTGTGCAGGTGGAGCCTGGGGTAGGGGCCCTCGGGGTGGGGGAGGGATGGGGGGCATGGCCCACCTGGGCTGGGGAGAGACCCACGGGGAGGGAGGAGGAAATGCAGCCGGGCGCACCCCCAGAGGGGACTCTCGGAGATTCCCCAGGTGTGGCCTCAGGTATAAAGGGCTCTGCAGACCATCTTCCAGCCACCTCCAGGTCTCCGGGCGAGCCAGCCACTCCGCTGCTGCCGCAATGGTGAGCCACACCCCATCCCGCGCCCTCACCCGGCCCTGAGGGGTCAGTGGCTCACTTCCCCTGGCCTGAGGGTGCTGGGATGGGGTCCAGGTAGTCCCCCCATCTGGAGACCAGGGGGAGCAGGACCCAGGGAGCCCTGGGCTCTGGGCAGCTAGGGCTGAGGTGCTGGCCCCTCTGGGGGAAGGCTGTGCCCTGTCTTCCCCCAGGGAGCAGAGCAGGCTGGGGTGGCAGTGTGGCACCCCCTTGGCTGAGCATCCCTGGCCACACATCGCCCCCTCCCCCAGCCCGTTTGTGGCCTCCCGCCTCCGCTCTGCCTGCCAGCCGGCCTGAGCACAGAGCCTCCCGGCAACGCCAAAGAGAGCCTGTGATGCTACTCGCCTGGGGAGCTGCCGCCGGGCCGGCCCCTGCCACACCTGCTGTCTCGCGTCGCCAAGTGGGGACAGGCTCTGCCAGTAGCCCTGGTGTCCACCCTGGAGGAAAATGGCAACAAGAAATGGCAGGAGTGGCCCCTGCCTGGCATCCAGTGCATGGCACCTCCCCAGAATAAGCTGCTCAGAGCTGGCACCCACCAGCGGTCCCTCTCACCCTGGAGATACCGGTGAGGCCTGTGGGGTCCCTGTCCTGGGTCTGCAGTGAGGTGCCGGCTCCCTCCCCTCCCTGGGTGCTGGATTCCTGCAGAGCCCCGAGCCCCAGTGTCCTCACCTGTCAGTGGAAGCAGCTTTCAGGCCCCCAGAGAGCCCCACTGGCCCGAGAGGGCAGGGCTCCATCAGGCGAGCCCCTGGCCACTGCCTGCACTGAGATCTCATCCAGACCTTGGCTACTGGGGTCCCCTGGGAACACTGGGGCCTCCCCCTGAGCCCCTGCACAGGCTGGGCTGGGCCCAGTGCGGAGGGTCCCCTGAAAGCCCCATGCCCGTTTCTACACTCTTGGCAGCCACAGGGGAAGGCGGGCAAGCATCATGTACTGGGCACTGGTGGCAGGCCAAGCCCTGTGCTCTGCAGCCACCCTTCCTCAGCCCCCACAGCCACGGGGCAGTGCGGGGAAGGGGGTGCATGGCTCCGTGCACACCCCACAGGAGATTCGCCCTATCTGTCCCTGCAGGGTGGACACAGACGAGAACTGCTACCCCCAGAAGCTGGCCTTTGCCCAGTGCCTCTGCATGGGCTGCATCAACGCCAACATGGGCCACGAGACCATTGGCTTAACTCTGTGCCTGTGACCCAGAACCTGCTCGTGTTGCGCCGCAAGCCCTGCGCCGATGCCCCGGGGACCCCCGTGCCTGGAGCCTTCTCCTACCACTCTGAGTTCATCGACGTGCCTGTCGGCTGCACCTGTGTCATGCCCAGGTCCACCAGGTGACCTCCCCACCTGGACATCAGGGGCCCTCTCTGGGTCACTGGTCATTTACATACCCCTGGGGTGACCTTGGCTCTGCTGCTCTGGGGTCCCTGGCCTTGAGTTTGGGGCAACAGTGGCAGAGCCCAGGTGCCAGGAGGGCTGGGTCCCCCATAGCCAGAGGGGTACCCCTGTGCATCAGTGCCCATCTCCAGACTCAGCTGACCCTTTAACAAAAGCAGACAGTTGGGCGAGAAGGAACCTCTTCTCTCTTCTGGAACTTAAAAAGCAATGACAGAAAAGTCGTTCTGACGGCCTCCTCCCCTCGGTGGCCCCCCGGGCTCCCCTCAGACCCTCACTGGCCTCAGGCTGGTCCAGGCCACACCACCCCAAGCTCCCTCCGCCTAGCCCCCTGGGAGTGAAAGTACCCCTGCATGTATAAAACTATTATTTAAGTGTGATATGTGTTACTAAAATGATCAACACCCCCCAGAACAAGTGTCAGGTGGCACAGGGGGCTGGCCCCGATTCTGATGGGTCTTTCCAGGAAGGTCTATGCATGAACCCCAAGTGCACCCAGGGTGGGGGAGTCTTAGCACAGGGCACCTGATGACACCTGCTGGCCGTGGTTCCAGGGACCACAGGGTGGCCCAGCCCCCAGCCCCTCAGAACCCACAAGCAGGCAGCTCCTCCAGCTGGGCCTGGGGGTGGCCAGGCCTTTGTCGCGACAGCGAGCAGCTGGGCACGTATCTGTCTGCCCCACGGATGGAGGGAGTCTCTGAAGGTAAATTCCCAGGTTGGGGCTTGGGGAACCCCCAGTTCAGGGCCCGTGCCTTTGCAGTCTGGCTGAGCACCATCACCTTCCCCAGCAGAGGCCAGGCAGATCCCAAGGCCAGTGCTGCACCCGGGGTCCCCTCTGGCTTCGGCCTGCTGCTGACCTGCCAGGCCAGGGCAGTGGAGAGGGGCAGGCCCAGCCCAGGGCCCCAGCAGCCACCAGCTCACACTCACTGCTGAGCGCCCTGGGCGGAGCACAGTTCAGGCAGGCTGGTCCTGGGAGCAGCCCCTGTGGTCTTGGAGAAGTGCCCTGGGGCAGTCCTGGCTCAGCTAGGAAGCCCTTTGGAGCCTGTTTCCCGGACTCTCCCTGCCTGACCAGCCATTTCCACCCACAGGTTAATGCCCACTGTGTGCAAGTGCCTGGGAAGAAGGGAGGGGTGATCTGTCTTGACCCTGAAAGGACTCTGCTCAGCATGTGCTTGTGGCGTTTCTGCCGTGTACCTGGCACTGGGAGTAGGGCAGTGACCAACCTATATTCCTCGTGCCCCCGGGGTGCCTGAGCCACACAGGGCTGGAAGACCTTCGTGTGTTGGTGCTAAAGGAATTAAGGACAGTGACACAGGATGGGGAGGGGCTGCAATTCCAAACAGAGGGCCAGGGAGGCCAGGGGGAGGAGCTAAGACCTGGGTGGCCAACCAGGCAGAGGGAAGAGGGAAGGCCAACCAGCTGGTGCAAAGGCCCTGAGGAGGCAGAGGTCAGGTGAGGTCAGTGTGGCTGGAGCAAGTGGGCAGGATGTGACAGTGGGCCAGGGGTGTAGGCAGTCTGTCCTGGGCAGCGGGAGCCTCACGGGCTCTGAGCGATGCCCCTAGCGGGCAGCCCGGTGCTGGGGGTCCCACAGGCAGCAGGGCAGAGCGGGGAGGCTTGGTGGGGCCCAGTGGCTGACTCCGGAGTCACGAAGATGGAGCTGAGCTGGGTGGGGGTGCACGGGAGTCAAGTGGGCAGCCCCCAGCACAGGGCTGGACTCAGGCGCTGGTGGGGTGACTGCCGACGCCCCGGCTCAGAGAGGAGGATTTGCCAAGGGCAGGGGGACAGGCAGGAGGCACAGACTGAAGGGCTTGTGGACTTCAGGAGAGTGGGCGCCCTGGGTGGGCCCATCAGAGAGGAAGGGGCTCCCCAGGCAGGGTGTGGGCTGAAGGCAAAGCTTTGGAGGGTCACAGAGGCTCCCAGCAGGGCAGTGACAGGCAGCACCCAAGAGGTCCTCCCCAGGCCCTGCCATCGGGGCTGCCTTGCGCGTAGCAGGGCGTGGGGTGACTGGGCGGAGGGCAGGCTGGAAGCCACCCGCCGCTGGCCTGGCTGCACAGAGGCAGCCGGGGAGCCATCGCGGGCGCAGGGGCCCCGCGCCGCCGGCTGGCTCCCAGAGCACAGAGAGACGCACACACTTGGAATTCCAGCCGCCGTGTTTCAGGGAAGGGAAGGGCGCCCCTGGGAACCAGAGACGTGGCTGCTGAGGGTGGGCGCGGGCTGGGCGGCTGCGCGTGGGCTCCTTTGGGTCTGGGTGCCCAGGAATAGCCACGCACAGCTTCTGCGGGTCCACTGGGGGGCACGGGCACAGGACGCCTCCAGGCGCGGTCACACGACCTCATCGGTCACGGGGATGGGATTTTCCTGGGGGCCGCCGGGGACCCCCGCCGCTGCTCCCTCCTCCTCCCCGCTGGGCTTCTTTCGGGCCTCGGCAGGGGGCCGGGGTGGGGGGTTGGTGGGCGGCTGCTGGATGGCGCCCCCCGCTGGCGGCCTCTCCTTCGGCTTGGATTCAATCGGGATCCACTGCTCCCCGTGGACAGCCGCCTGTGGGACACGGAGGGGCTGGACGTGGGGTCTTCCTGGGACCAGCCCTGCCCCCGCCGCCCCCTCCCTCCAGCCCCACCCCCCACCCCCAGACCCCTTGGTCCCCCATTCTGTGCTCCCATCCACTCAGCCCCCACCCCCTGCAGCTGTCCCCCAAAACCCCACACTCCCACCAGGAAACAGAGCGGGACCCGAAGTCTGAACCCATTAAGATGTGAAGGGACTGTTCAGAGAGACTAAGTGACTGGCCTGCGGCCACACAGCCAGGAGCTGCTCTGTGGTCCCACCACCGCGGGAGACGCCTCACAGGGGAGGGCGCCCAGCACCCCAGGGTTTCTGAAAGCATCCAAGGCCACTTCCAGGTGCGCATTCCAAGACCAGGGCCCCCCCAGGACTGTGGGCCAGGACCAGGGAGGCCAGGCATCGGTGGGATGGAGAGACTTCAGTCTTGGCTAAAATGCACATTCCTGGGCCCCACACCACTGTGGCAGGCCCAGTGGACCTCAGAAGGTACACATAAAATTCTGTATTCCATATTTGATACATAAAAGAGTGACTTCTTATAATTTGTGAAGCATAAGAATAAAATGGGCATCTGAGATCCCACCTCCTAACTTAAAAACTAGAACATTCTATCCTGAAAAGTCCAACTATCATGTTGACAGAAGGGAATGAAGGAAAACACAGCATGCGGGCAGAGAAAAAGATTTTTTAAAAAGCACAAACCATAATGTAAATAAATGGAAAAACTGCTGTTCAGTGAAGGGCTTCCTCAACTACAGCAGACCCCTGACAGCGGGGCAGAGGGCACCACAGCGTCTAACACTTACAGGGGACCCGTTGGTCACAACACACACGAGACTCCTGCACGTTAACAAGAAAGACAAAGGCCCCACCAGGAAAATGGGCCGATAGCATCAGTGATGGGAGGAGGAGGCAGCGGCCGAAGCCTGGGGAGGCACCACGGGCACATTTGGCAGGGATGCCAGCCGGCCTTTCAGGGGGAAAGTGGCCAGACCTGCAGACTGCGTGGGCCGCGTGGACGGCGGGGGGATCCTGGGCGCGGGGTGGGGTGTCCTGGTGAACGGTGCAGGGGCTGACCCCTGACCCAGGAAGGCTACTCAGCCAGGAACTCTCTCAAGTCCTCAGGGCCCGGCCACGTGACGTGGGCGCTGACGGTATGTGGGGCCCGCGGGGTGGTGGTGCGGAGGCTGGCGGTGTGGGAGACGGTCCCAGGCCAGAGCGACATGCAACAGGAGGGGAATCTCCCAGGGAGGGCCTAGAGCCACACAGGCCGCTGGCACTGACAGCTCGCTCGCCACGCGGCAGCACACACACAAGACGCGTTCCTGAGCCACATGCACGGGGCAGACAGGCATCCACGCCACAGAAGACGCAAGCAAGCGCCTGGAGCTGGGGGCCCCGGCGGCCACCCAGGGCCCTGCCCTGACGGTTATCTGGGCTCCCCAGGACGTGCTCCTGGCCACTCCTCAAGCTGGAGCCGGATGGCCAGATGAGGAGAGCCTGAGGAAGGGGTTCTTCCCCCACCACCCTGGGCCATGCCGCCTCTCTGAGCTCCTGCTTCTCCGTCTGTGAAGTGGGGCCCACCAGCCACCTTGAGGGGCTGCAGTGCAGATCTAAAGAGAAATGTAGGGAAACAGCTGGTGCACGTTAGATGTTCAATAAGTGGTCGCTAAGGCTGTCCCCGTCTCCACCACGACAGGAGCAAGGACACGGGCTCCTGGCCTTGGCGTGGGGGCAGAGGTGTCAGCACCCTGGGGGCCACTCACCAGCAGATAGATGCTGCTCGCAATGGCCAAGCAGGCTGTCCCCAGGATGGTGGCAAGCAGGAAACCAGCAGGAACCGACAGCCTGGGAGGGGTGAGGACGAGAGATTCAGAGGGCAGCCTGCGCCCAGGCCTGGGTCACAGGCCATAGGTCTCGGGGCAGAACAGTGCGCCGTCCCCAGGACCCCAGTCAGCACGGATGCCCGGCCTTGCCAAGACACCCTGAGCTGTTATCTGCCTGGATTTGTACCTTACCAACTCCTGGCCCCAGCCACCATGCAGGGAGGAAGCTCAAGCATCTGTAAAGGCACTTGGGTGTCCTGGCCTCCCCGCGGTGGCCACCAGACAGCACATGGCAGTGGGCGGAGCTGCCCAGACCAGCCCCTGGGTATTCCTGACTTAAGCTACTAAGTTTTGGGGTGAATTTTTGTGGATAAGATGGAAACTGATTTAGGGAACCTTGGGCACAGCCCAGGACCTAGGTTTTTGTTTAGAAAAACAGCTGTACCAGGAGGAACCTGACTTGACCCACACTCTCCTGTCCCGGAAGCCAGACCAGAGGGAAGGTTTACCCCAGGACTGCCCTCCTCCCTCGAGAGGGCAGGGTGGGGCAGGGACTCACCCGAGGTGCAGGAAGGCCCGGATGTAGTAATTCCTGGAGAGGGGCCCGAACATCTTCACCACTTTCGTCATAAACTTCTGTCCACTGGGCAGGGGGTTCGGGGGAGACAGACTGCGTCCTACCAGCGCCTCCCTACTGCCTGCCCCTCCCGGGGACCACAGCTGGGCAGGCACCGGCCCCAGTGTGCAGGGGACGGACAAATTGGTCCGGAGCCGGGCTCCTCAGGGCTGCTGGCCAGGTGTCCCTCCAGGTCACGCCCAGCCCTAGGGACAGACCCTGGGCAGGGTGGGTACTCACCATCTCTCCATGGTGGAGCCCTTCTTCCGCTTCCCCCGGGGGTACTCCAGCAGGGACACAAACAGGCCTGCCGCGCTGAGCCTGTGGTTAAGGAGCAGCCCGCCGGCGCAGGAGCCACAGAGGGCCCCCTTTGCTGATGAGAACACCGAGGCACAGCCCCCACCTGGGACCGCACAGCCGGGAAGCACAGGGGGGGAGTCCGCCTCCCCACTCTCACCTCCGCCCCTGGCGCCTCGGCTTCCAGGGGGCCTGGTGGGCCTACCCTGGGGAAGGAGAGCAGCGCCGAGCACCCAGAGGTGCTGCGCCCCAGGGGCCCACCCTACTCTGGGGTCCACGCCTGGAGGATACATGGAGTACACGCCGAAGTACCACTGTGTGAACTGGCCGGCGGTGGCCACAATGCCCCCCGTGATGAGAACTGTGGGCAGAGGAGAAGCAGGTCAGCGGCGGGGGGCCCCAGCTTGAGCAGCTGGGCCTCCCGGCCACCCACGCATTTGCCGGGAAGGGGATCCAGGCGTGGTCAGACTCCTAGGAAGTGACTAGTGAGCTGGCGAGGGGCGGCTCTGGTGGCAGGAGGGGCTGACAGGGCGCAGGCACCAGCGGAGCCGGGCTGTGTCCCAGGACCTGCTGGCAGGTCCCCCGGCCTCGGAGCCCTGGGCACTCGCTCCCGGGCTCTGTGGGCCCTGCTGTCTTGCCCCTCGCCCCTCCTCTGGTTAGCGTTTGCCAGCTGCTCCGCCCTCATCACCTCCTGTCTGTGTGGCCATGCTTCCTGCTAGCCTGCTGTCAGCAGCATTTATCTGGATTTTTTCTGCCCAATAATTTTTTTGGCAATTTTTAAAATTGTGGTAAAATATACATAACAAAACCTTCAATCTTGGCCATTTTAAAGTGTACAGTTGGGTGGCATTAAGGACATTCACACAGTCGTGCAGCCGTGCCCACCAGCAGCCCCAGAACCACATGTAGTGAAGTGTGTGGGTGTCAGCTGATGCATTCTTACCTGTGTGCACCCCCATGCGACCCCACCCAGAGCCACAGTCCTGTCACCCCAGGAGGTCCTCTGGTGTCCCTGCACAGCTGGTGCCTGGAACCCCACACCTGGCTCCTTTTGCTCAGCAGAAGGCTGTCAAGGTCATTCCCATGGTGTGCAAGGGTCACCGGCGCATTCTTTCTCTGAGTTTTCTATCGTAGGAGTCGGCCACAGTTTATGTATCCATTTATGGGACATTTCAGTTGCCTCCAGTTTGGGGCTATATTATGAATAATCTGATATTGCTGACTTTTTAATATTTTAACCAATCGGATAGTGAGTTTGACCTAGTTTGAGTGTGATTACAGATAATGTGAACTTATTTCATTGTCTTATTCTACGTTTTCCCTTTAACAAGCCCCGTCGCTTCTCCCACCCCCGCTGACTCGGTCACACTCTAGGATTCCTCTTACTAAACCACAGGTGGACTTCAGAATGCTCAATGTCAGTCTCACCCTAAATTAACCATTACTATTATTTTTTACAGTCAATACTTATTCACCAGCGTCTCCCTTCCTGTGTCCCAGCCCTTCCTCCTGACCCAGTCTCCCCCCTGCTGAAGCGCACCCTTCTGTAACCTTCTCACGAGGTCTGTCAGCAGCGACCGTGCACCTGAAGATGCTCTCATTCTTGAAGGACAATTTATCTGGACATTGAACTCACGTTGTTCTCTCAGCACCTAAGATATTCCATTGTCTTCTGGCATCTATTATCGGTGATGATAAGGCTGCAATAAGTCTGACACTAACCCATTTTTTCCCTCAGGTAAATGCTGATTTTCTTTAATGATCTGCAATTTCATTATAATGTGTCCCAGAAGGGATTTGTTTTTTTTTTATTCTGTAAAGGACTTTGTTTTCTCCTTCAATCTGAGATCTCTTCTTCCTGGAAAATGCTCCCCCATTATCCCTTCTCTATTACCTTCATGCCAAGAGCCTTGTTTCTGGAATCCCCATTGTACATATGCTGGGTCTTCTATTGAACGATTCCCACCTCTTTGTCACTGTGAGCTGAATTCTGTGAGGTCTCCTAAGACCCACCTTTATTTCACTGAATCTATCTTCCTCTCTATATAGTGTTCAATCAGTCCATTAACATTTAATAACTCTGTATCCTTATTTCCAAACACTCTCTGCAGCGCCCTGCTCTGCTGCATGGTCTCCTATGCCTATTCCCGTATTTCCTTGAGCGAGTTCAAGCGTGCTCGTGCACTTAAACATGTGCCATATTGTCAAGTCTTTTCCAAACAGCACTGGGTTCCGGTTCTAAGGCTGCCCGCTCCCCTCCACGGTCCGCGCTCACTTAGAGCTGTCTGCTTCCTCAAATGGCGGGTGCATCTGAGCAGGCCTGGCAGGCTGTCTTCCTGTGGCCCTAGTTCAGGAAATGCCCTTACAGACAGTTTCACTTCTGCCTCTGCTGGGACAGAGCAGGGCAGCTTTGGCCTGCAGCCCACACCCAGCACAGCCCTCAGCCACCAGGTTTTGTCTAGTTTGTGACTTTGTTGTCCGGCTCTAGCAGCGAGGCTCCTTAAGGGCGGTTTCGGGTCCATTTCTTACATAGGGAGCCCTTCCTGGTTCCCATTTCAGCCCATTCCCCCACAGAGGCACCCCCAGTCCAAACCCTGAGGCCCTGCTGACTGTGCCTCCCCAGCCGCCCTCTCTCAGCCCGTGCCACCTGAGGCCACGCGGTGCCTTCTTCCCAGCGACCTGCTCTTGGTGCTAAGCTCAGCTACACAGTAACTTCTCTGGGGTGTGATTCTCCACTCTGCACTTCAGTTTTGCTGCCTGCCACCAGCAAGAGGGGGCAAGATGCAGTGGCTCACCAGGGAGGTCTGAGGGCTATTCTGTCACCCAAGAAACACTGACAGAGGGCCTAATGTGTGCAGGACCAAGCCAGACAGGCTTCTGCTCTCAGGGGCCTCCAGGCTGCCGAGGGGACAGAAACGAACGTCAGACAGTGAAGGACAGCAGGGCACCGGGGCAGAAAACACCCTGGCTGCTCTGGGTTGGGTGCCCTGGGAATGCCTGCAAGCGACCCCAGGGAAGGAGCCTTGGGTGCTGCAGACGGAAGAATCCTCTTCTGCAAAGGCCCTGGGGTCGCCCAGGAGATCAGGACAGGAAGGAAGCCTGTGCGCTGGGGCCAGGAGGGGCCGGGAGGAGCAGGGGGTCAGGACCTGGCTTTGCTCCTCGAAGGCCAACGCCCCTGGAGAGCGTTCAGCAGGTGACACGCCTGAGGGGCTTTCCTAGGAAGCCTGTGGGCTGCCGCAGCTAGCAGCCCAGCCTGGCCAGAGCAGTCTCAGGTGGCTGCAGCTTAGAGTCCCGAGAAAAGTCAGCAAAACTGCAGTTCAGGGAGGAGAGGGCCACAGGGCAGCCTTTGTGTGGTGGTGGGGACGCGGCCGGAGCGTGTTTCTCTGAGCCGCAGTGTCTGCACTGTGGTGAGGTGACGGAGGGAAAGCCCGACCCCGGGACACAGGCACTAGAACCCAGACTTCCCGCCGGCTTAGGGTCCTCCGCTGCCCTCTGCCCCCAGGCTGCGGGGCTGTGGGGGAGGCTGGCTGTCTGAGGCCTCATGACCCAAGGCAGGCAGGACAGCTGGGGACAAGGGACGGTGACCCTCTAACTGACCCGCAGGGCCTCAGCCATTCTGGACACCCAAAGTGGGGTGACCTATCTGGTCATAGAACAGACCACAGGCCTGCGCCCCAAAGCTGCTCACCCCAAACTGACCTCCATGCAGGCCCTTCTCTGCTCCCAGACCCCAGCGGGCTCCTCCCACACCCAGGTGGGTTACAGGGCAATGGTGGTGGGCTGGGACCTCCCCTGTCACCACAGTCCCTACATTTTCCCCCCGCCGCCACTGGGTGCAGGTCCTTCCTGGGAGCGGCTGGTCCCCAGGAGGCAGGTAGAGGTTTCCTCTTGCCTTGGACCCTGGCCTGGGCCCGCGGGGCCTGAGAAGCCCCTACTCCCATATGCGGACCTTGCTGCTCCCAAACGGAAGCTCCTGAGCACAGGGCGGCAGGTGACTGGGGGTGCCCCCGCTCCCCAGGGGTGGTCTCTCGGTGCTGAGCTGGTAGGGGTCACTTTGGCAGCTTCCAGCCACCTTGACACCCCAGATGCCCATCTGCACAGATTTGGGGCTGGGCCAGAGGAGGTGCAGTTGCCCCAGAGGGAGCCCTGCCCAGGGGGCAGGAGACCACCCCTGTCCCCC